AAGTATACCTACGGTATGCGCTCTTTCAAAAAATAATTTGTTCAACACCCTTCATGCTATGGCATAACGAATCGCTTACGTAATTTTATTATCTTCAAACCATAATCGGTACAGGTTATAAGAGATCTATTTTGTGGTAACGTGACTGTGAATTTAATGTAATTTTAAATAAATCTGGGAGTTTTATACGCCGGTGAGTTTTCATTACTTTGAAAAATATTGTCAAGTCTGATAGATAAGAATATTTACATAGGAAGAAGGACGACAAATCGACTTTGAGCGTATTCGCGTGAGGTTGGTGCGTCTTAATTTTCTCTGTCCGTAGCCGCAATGTATGAATGAATCTGCTAGAGAATTTAAAACAGTTTGCAAACGATCACTGCTTATAAACAGAATTGTGGCGTAATGTTTTAAGCCTTAGCAGAATAGAAGAATATGTGTGTATTAAAGCCGATTCCTGACTCCGAAAGGTACATCCACTAACACAACATATATAACAACATCAATGGGAATTTTTCTTTTCTATCTACAATCCATCCTGACGTAATATATTGCCTCTTGGGGATCTAGTAGACGTGCGTATGTACTATACATTTTCATTGAACAATATACTTCCCTGTTTTATACTTTACGTCATAATATATATATATAGAATAGATACGATATATATATAGATAGAATAATAGAATACGTCATAATATTTATTTGCCCATAATTCTCCATATAAATTACGTTAATTTGAATAGGAGCGTACATCATGACATCGGTATGATATGACGCAGTTCTCTCAAAAGAACTTGTGACAAGATATGTTTTAGAACGGAATGATTCACACGACCGTAATCCGTGTCGGTGTAAATTACTCTAAGATACGGCGCTGCGAAGTAAAATTTGAAACATTTAATTTAGGTAGATCTGGGATAAGGTACAAATACATAAAAGGTCCAACAAAAGATGCCTAAACGCGAGCAAATGAGAATACGTTGAGCCACATTTTATAGAAAAAAAAGCACTAACTCATTGTGATTCGTTACTAAAGGCTCCATCATAGACAAAACAACTTCTGCAGAAGCAATGAATAAAGACGACCGTTGTTTTTAACGTTATGAGTTTATCCAGCTATTTTATCGACTGCTGTCTCTCCAGCTTATGCACGAATAGTTGAGCGCTACAATACGACACGTTGCCAAAAATATCCACTGATCTCTTGTTCTACTGTTGCTTTTTCAATTTCTGCGAAATATTAACAGAACCCGACGGCTTACGCGACTACGGAGCGCATAGCGGTCTCGCTTGCTACGATACGATGCCGCTTTCCCAATTCAGCCAGACACAGTCATTTGTCCGACGTAAACAAATATGGCTGCCCCCAGTGCTCCCCCCCCTATGGACACTTCAGGAAAAAAAAACTAGAGGTTTGTGTACAATAGTTAACTCTCGTGCATAATGTGATAATGCAGTTTTTAGCCCGACATCTCTAAACACGATATCTGTGTGTACGGGCTAGCGAAACTGTCTCCATGGTACGTGAGAAAATTGAAGTCACACTTGCTCCGTGCAACATCCCCTGTTGCATTACTAAATAGTTACGAGTCTATAGAGACTACCCTACAAAGTACTGATTATTTATGTTTGTATGATATCTGCTTCACTCGACTGTGTCTTCACTCGACGAGTTTGAATCCTGACATTTCGTATTCGTGCAGCAACAATTATCGGCGGAAGAAAATGGCACGAAGTATATTGATCTGTACAGCTAAAGCCTCTGTACATGCTCGCTTTTCATATAAGGAAGTATTTGTCTGTGAGTGTTCGATAAGAAGGAGAATGTTAAACCATTCGAACACAATGTGTTTCCCTTACGATCAATTCAATATGAAAGTGTCTGTAAGAATAGGAGTTTATCGAAGTTTCCTAAAGACTAAAAGATCACGAGAACCTTTGTCATCGGCGAAAATATTATTCGATGCACGTAAGGCATATATTACTTCGATTGTAAACGTAAGCCCAATAAGTCAACACGAGTTTCTGCGAAGTACTCATGAAACCAACAACAAATTTTCACATACTGCGTACTACCATGACTGGAATGCTGGAACATCGTTAGATTTTCACCATTTTCAATTTATTTTTAAATTCGTTACACTGATGAGTGACTTCGGATATAAATGCAGCTTCATTTAATCTAACATCTGATTAATGAGTGCCTTTTCGATCTTACAACAATGACATAGAATTAATGCTACAAATATTTCTACCTATTTGCGGCATGTCTAAAAAATGAAACTTGCACCTGTTAAATTTCCATTTTGATAAATAGTTATATCAGTTAATCGGTTCAATTACTCATAAAATAATATTCCCTGTTATTTTATGAGTCGACCCTGATATTTGACAGGCGATTCATTGCATTTGTGAATGAATAGCGCTACTTCGATTTGTGTCTGTGTTGATCTTGCAGCTAGTAGCCGAGAACAAGCGACTTCACCCTTAGGTTGTGGTGGATAATTGTTGATCCATTGTCCAACATCACGATGCGGGCCCTCTGTCTGTTATTGGGCGGCTGGGCCCCTTCGGCGCGATGCCAGCATGCTTCGTCAGGTGTCATCTCAGGTCGGCAGCTGAAGATCCTCACACAAGCCGGTACGGTGACCAAGTGATGGGTAAAACTTAGTTACTTCGCGTCGGTTCGAACCGAGTCCATCGACCCTGGGCGCCTTCTCAATAAATTATTTCTTCGGTATTTCTTACTCATAGTAAGATACGAAAATTGGGGAAATAGAGAACTGTCATTAAGCAAAACAGGAACTAATTCGTCATTATATTACACGAGAAATGTTTGCCGATTGTTTACCTAGGTTATCGTCTATCATGCATAATGGCTACCCGAACAACTTCAAACGGCGATTCGCGCTATACGAATGCTACAAAAGTGCCCAAATCAATCCTGAAAAAAACCTATTCGGTTAATGGACCGGAAAAAAAGGCGATCTCCGAGATGCAGCAGACCATTATCAAAGGTTAGTATACCGGTTGGTTACACAGTTTCCAGCACGTATTTACATATAATGCCGTCCAAAGTGTTATTTAAAGCCACGGTGTGGCGGATTTGGAGAAGGAAGTGGAAATGTCTCCAAGTCTGCTTTAAGGCATGTGAGTCAACTGCAAAAAGTTTTACATACGAAGACTCCATATTTCAGTGGGGTTATCTTATCTTTGTTGCAGCAATTAAGGGCACTAGAATCAAGCTGGACGTAAATCAGGCATACACCGAACGAAATTTTATTACGCCTATTCGCGCTATGACGGAATACGGTTTGAAACTTCAAGACCTGGAAGGGCTAAAGAAAACACTTCGACGGAGTCCTATAAGCGATAATCCGCCGATCACAGTATTTCTGCGTCGCGACGTCGAAACTAAGTGTGTGACTTTTTAGTATCAAAGTTCTAGTTACACTTTTCCAAGTGCTTGTTGGATATAGTGAGGTAATCAATGCTGAATGTAGAAACCATTCATTAAAAAAAGGGCGGCTATGTATTTGGCAAAAGTCGTCCTTTCGTGATTTTCGTTCTTTGTTTTTTCCTCAAGAAGTCACTCCACAATCATTTCCAGAGCGTTAGAAGTATACGGTTCCCGTGAGGCCTTGGAACGTGCACAGCAGCAACAGATTGAAGAAATAGAACGACTTCGTGACGAGGAAAACCTGACCTCTAAGAAAGTCTTGAAAGAATTCTATAAGTAAGTATATTTTATGGGTACGACGAGCAAAACAGTTAGGATTTACATTTGCAGGCGAAAGTCTTCGATAAACGCTTTGAACACGTCAGAGTACAGATGCTTCAGCCTCTCTGTAGACCTTTAAGTCCTGCGCCTAGAAGACAACACGCAGAAAGGAACGATATACATTATCATTTGATGACGTTTTGCAGCAAACACATAAGCATGTGGCTTGGTAAAAGTCTTACACAGACCTAGGGGCAAGTAGCTACGAAGATCCCCTTCGAATTGTGCCGGTTCAGGAATGATGCACAGCTTGCGCTAAACGGACGTTGTGCGTGATATCTATCTTTTGTTGTTTCGTATCGCAGGGCAGAGAAGCGAAATGTGGAAAAAAAGCAACGAGAACTAATCCTCAAAGGTAGCGGCAAAGTTGTACATACTGCTGTCATTATAAATGCTGCCAACTGCCTGTTCAAGACCGTAGCCTGGCTATACTCAGGTTCACATTCAATGTTTGCTGAGGCTGTACACAGTTTTGCCGACACTCTTAATCAGGTCGGTTGAATATTATTGATGTGTCAACATTTAGTTAATTTTTCTCGGTTTCTGTCTCATCTGCCTATAATACTAACTATTTTCGACAACAGTGTTTGACTATTTGGGAACTAGAATAATCTCGAAATATCTTTTCGACATTCATAGAACTTATGTATAATAGTGTCTTGTGATCTGTATTGTTATTATCATCTGTGTGGTGTTTCGACCTTCCTGTTAGACCGTTAGATAACGGATATTATGCTCGTAACTTCTAAATCCAGTATTTTTGCAGCTTATTTTAGCGTTTGGAATACGTAAATCGCTTCAGCAAGCGAACCCGAATCATCCTTATGGGTACCACAATATGCGATACGTCTCCTCGCTTATATCTGGGGTCGGTATCTTCTTCTTCGGAGCGGGTCTGGCCTGGTATCACGGCGTTATGGGCCTCTTGTACCCGGAAGCAGTACAATCTCTCTACTGGGCTTTTATCATTCTCGGTGGCAGCTTGTTGACCGAGGGCGGTACGCTCTATGTTGCCTTCAGGGAAATCCGCAGTGGGGCTCGGAACGAGAATGTCTCTATGCTGGACTACAGTAAGTAGAACACCAAAGTAAAAAATATCTGCTATCATTTGGCAGATTTTTAGAATATCATTTCCGAGACTGCATTAGCATTGCATCAGGTGGATGACCGTTAGCGCAAAACAAACATGTCTGCTCTAAAATTGGAACCTAAGGTTCATATGTATATCAGTTTAGCTGGCAAACACATTGGCATTATATGATCGAGGGCAGACTATTCGCCAGCACTAGTTTATAGACTTCTAGAGTAATATTATTACGATACTAGCTTTACCTGCCCTTAAGTCTTATACTACAATTAAGAAATATCGAATAGTTACATTTCACTTAATATGTTTTAAAGTCGTCCGCAGCCGAGATCCATCGGTGAATGTGGTCCTTTTGGAGGATATCGCTGCGGTGCTCGGAGTGTCAATCGCGGCGAGCTGTATGGGCCTTACGCACATTTACGAAAATCCACTATTTGATGCAGTGGGCTCTTTGCTAATTGGGGGCATTCTCACATCAGTAGCCTCGTTCATCGTTTACACAAATACCACCGCGCTTGTCGGCCGGTAAGTTTTAAATATGAGCGTGTGTACGCAGTACAACTCCAAGCTAGTCACAGGTCGACAGCGGAAATTATCTGAACTCACTTTGATGTTACTTTAAATAATTTCAGGTCCATTCCATTCGAGCAAGTACAGAAAATAAATCGCGAGCTAGAGTCGGACGTCATGATTAGAGCCATCTATGATGTTAAGGTTTGGTTCTGTTACGGATTTATTGAATCTTACGCGGGCATGTCTCACCTTTAGCAGGTCGTAGTTATCTGCTCAGCGTTAAACTAAAACATCTATTTTACAGAATGCTGTACTTACACAAATATAATACCTATTCAATTGCAGAAATGTGGACTGTTTTGAACTCTGTCTGTGTATTAATGCTTGACCTGATTAGCGGAAAATGAATGAAGATATAGATTTTATAATAACTGGATGGAGTCTACGGCTCCTTCCTGTCTTATGCATGCTTTGTACATGGCTATGCTCGTATTTTCAACGTAGGCGACCGACATGGGCAATCAGGTGGTTCGGTATAAAGCTGAGGTTGACTTCGATGGACGTGAACTTACAAGGAGCTATATTGATACATTGGATCTAGAAATGATGCTTCAGGTAAACGAAAATGAAGGCTATTTTGGGCTTAAAAATAAAGCAGACGTATCGCTGTACGTCAGACTGAAATAACATGATAAACTCAAGTCCTTTAATCAAATGGGATTTCGCTTCTGTATTGTTCGCGGCTTTGTTTGTCGAAACCGCGAAAATTTAACTAAATAAAGCAAGGTGATTTGAACTTTGATATTGTTTGTGTATTTGACTAACTTCTTTCAGGAAGTACAGGGTTTCACTACAATAGAAGAGTTGGATGCGTTCATGTTGAAGCACGGCGAAAGTATAATCGATCTGCTTGGCGCCCAGGTAGACCGAATCGAGCGCAAACTTAAGGAACGCCACCCAGACGTGCGACATGTTGACTTAGAAGTGCTTTAAGTCCGATCCGAATCTACAACCGTGCGATCAACAATTGACAGAAAAACATCATCATTTCGCATGTCGCTATCGGCTCACTACGACGATCGACATGTCCCCACCAATTTTAGGGAGTTAGTAATTCTGAACTCTCAAACATGTAATGTTGTGACTGAATAACCCCAATGATAGGTGCCTTAAATGGTGATAAAAGGACCAACTCCTATCAGTGTTTTAATGGCACCAAACATTCGAGCGAGGAAAATAATGCTGTCGAAGCAGCGTTGCACGCTTTTCTTTAAACCCGCCGTCACTTTTACGCCGTGCAGCTGAATAGAAGTGCTTTGTCACAAACGTTACTACTCATGTATAACCACTACGGGTAAAGCTCTGTAAATCCATAAAAACACGAAGATTTTTGTCGAGATAGGGGGACGAGGAGATAGGAGAGAGGCTTCAGAGCTTCGTCTGTTAGTGTTTTCCAGGTGAAATTTCCTAACGAAAAGGTTCCGTCGATTGCTTGAAAAATCTTACAGAAAACTGCGCAGATGTGGAAGACAAAATGCAAACGAAAACTGCTACGGGCGTGCTCAGGGCACCAGCAACTTATGTGATAGCAATGCAAAATAATGCTTATATTATGTATTATAAATGACAAGTAACGATACCACTCATTAGATTAAGCGAATATAGAACAAGCTACTAGCAGAAACTGATAGAAATGAGATAATAATGGATTTAAGGGAAAAGCTGAAAAAAAAAAACGCTGTAATTTTCATGTGGCTATCAAGCATGACGTATTAAATGTTAATATATACATAAAAATATATTTTAAATGTAGACAGAACTTGCTCGAAGGAAATGAACCAGTACATAATGGAACTCGACTGTGTGACAGAAAACGGTCTTACCCTTTTTGTTTTGTAGTACCCTATGCAGAAAAATCCTGTAGTATGGCTGTTGATCATCGGGCGTGGTAACCAGAGTGTGGATGTCACCATTGGCTGGTGAATAAAATGCCGGTAAAAACGATGCTTATGTTGTTTTTTGTTCAACTCAATGTGTTAGAATTGTTTTGGTTATTATTAGGAACCGTAGATGTAAGGGAGAGACCTTTTGACGAAGCTGTTACCAATCGGACTTGACGCGAACGAAAAATTGCAAACGCGTTTAAAATATCTTCCAATAAATCCTAAATATATCAATAAGTATAGCCATATGTCTGTCTCTGCGATTAGGATTCCCGAAACCTTGTTGATCCGTCGCTTCATTCAACTAATCTGCAAAAGATGTATATAGTAAAAACCGTTAGGTGAAAACATTGTGTTAAACGTAACAGAAATGCTGACAGTAAAAAAAAGCAAGTAGATGGAATGAATGCATTTTTTCATTGTTCGGGGTTGTTCTTGGACTACTAGAAAATTTGAAATATATTTCACTGATAGCGAAGCAGAACTAACCTACCTTTTGGTTTCGAATTAATTCATGGCATACTGCTAAGCTTGGTGAGAAAGCACTATGGTGAATGTCAGCGAAACACTGCTAAATGTGGCTATTATATAAATCGAATAGATTCAACTGTTCATTCCTGGTACGGTAACTCATAGTTTCGAACGTTACCCCGTTCTATTGAAAATGTCCAATAGCCGAAATCTCAGCCAGACAACACGCTACCAGCGTATGACGCTTGCCTTTGCCAACGACTAGAAATGGGCATTATGCCCACCGATTACGCAAGGAGATTCCATCTTGAAGTTTATGGAGAAGATTACAAACATGCTATGATAAACTATTATAATGTTCTAAGTTTTTTGTGTGCAACTGTGTATGTTCAATAGAAAAATCAGAATTTAGCTCAATAAAGTGTTACGTAAAGTAAAACGTATACATTGCCTCTAATTATTTATCAAGATATAATTCACCTGAAATAGGTTGTTCAACTATAGGGTAGCATTATTTAATAACGCAAACATTTTGCAAAAAAAGTTTGTCACTTTAGAATCTCTTTTGTATACTGTAGAACAATAGAAAACATTGCGTTCCAAAACTTAGCAAATTTTCAATGCGATTTTCAGTGTGAGAGTGTTTTGTGCTACTGATAAGAGAGATACAAATATCTAGAGAGCCTGGCTGTTAGAAAATGTTAAAATAAACTACGAAAGAAAGATATACATGTGAAAATATAGATAAATAGATTATTATGTACATACTGTCTGCTAGATTCAAATTCTGATCTAATGTACCCAAGGAAAATTTTGGTTATAAGTATGGAGTCAATTCAGCTTTTGTTTTTTTACAATTTTGATGAAAGCTATTTAAGAATGTAGTATGCGTAAGGTGACCTACACTGGCACAATTGTTGAATCATATATGTTTGTATATGTTAGTCATTTAGGTCGACCTGCGGCGATTTAGATTTTGCAGCTTAAACTGATGGTAAACTAATAATAACATTACTACTATTATTAATAATAATATTGTCGGTAATCTCATTTTCTAAGGTGCCGTGTGAGACATCCTTTTCTTACCCTTAGAACTTAAAGAAGAACTCATTTACTGCAAATACATTTGGTTTACCTTCTTTTAGGGGATGACTTTTAATGCAGTTTATTACAGTAATGCACTATTAGCTTCTGTTATCACTTTCTCTAAAATCTCTTTTTTTTCGCTATCGTTTCGTTACTACCTCAACCTCACACTGCATGTCATTTATTCGTTCATTTAAGGCATTGTCATGGCTACCCTCTTAAGCGTTGTTTAAAAGGGTGCAACACTGCCACTTGTCTATGCACATTTCTATTAGAATTTCATCACGCGTTTTGTCATGAAACTTTCACGCAGATTAGACAGTCGAACTGTTCTGCTGCCAGCTCGACAAGTTCTCTTACGCGCCCAAGCACTTATATATTAACCATATTTCGTACCCACCGTATAATAGCTCCACATAGAGCCACATCACAACAGCCCTTTACGACAGTTTCACTGAGTTCCTTTCAGTTAATGCGTGATATCTATAGTGAGCTCAGCAGAGTACCTATTCGAGTGAACTTAGCGACATAGGGGAAAATGAACGATAGTAAATTAGAAATAAAATTACAATAGTTTCTAGGCGTACTTCCATTGTTTTTCGCACTATTCTCTGTTAGTCAGATTGTTACGTTTCCCTGCTAATCATGTCTGCGCATCGTAAAGCAAAATCTGCAACCGTCACCGGTCGCAAAATGGTCTCTAAAATGACATCTAAACATTACGTGCTTTTACTGCCGTTGTCGCCATATCTTTCTTACGCTTTCTTTTCGGAAATAAAACTACAGAAAACGGACTTCACAAAGTGCCCCAGACGTTAACACTCGTCTACTTCTCCGCTGGCCTTTGAACGCGTCAAGGCTGCACACGCTGCATTCATTGCGAACTACTTGCCGTATGATTTCTCTTTTTGTGGATACTTCTTTTTTTACGCCTTTAACAACTTTAGAACAACCTGATTGTGATGCCACTAGCATTCAGTCGTCGATTCAAGTGATCCTAAATGAGTCATTATGTGTGTGTGTAAGTGTATAGCACCCTTTGTCACAGTGTTTTCTGTCGACATTCTGTCGATCGAAATAGTTCGTACCTTAAGCCTGCATTGCTTGGCCAGTGATGATGTGCGTTCCACTGAACATACAAAATCCAGTAAGACGCTAAAATGTCTAAACCGCAATAATTACCCTTTTTGAACTTAAAACTACTTCGGTCGGTTAAAAGAGTTTACGCTTGCACCTGTCCTATCTGTTTTCCGTACGGCGTTTTTATCGTAAGTTGTAACAAACATGGTAAGACTGCTGACGGCAGTTTCTTTACCGGGTCATCTCATTAGCGTTTTCTCGCTAACGCCTTACTGTTTTGTTTTTACTGCAGAACTCCTTCCCTTTGTTTTCGACGATGGTTCGATTGTATGCCGCTTCCTCCTCGACAGCGTGTAGAATCCTGTAGTTTTTTTTAAAGATGACAGTTAACATCGTTCGATGTTCTCTCATCACCACTATCCTTTTTACTCCATTATATTGCCAGAGATATCCTAATGAATTCATATGCTACTCCAAGCATCGGTGATAAATGTCTCCACGTCCCGTTTTGCTACTATTTGCTTTTTCTTCCCCTTTTTATCTTGTTCTTCAGAACTTAATGAACAGTTATTTTTTTTCCTATCTTACTTTCACTACTATCAATGTTTTATTAGTTCATGCATTACTGCCAACGTTATACAGTTTTTCTTATCCCGTCTTATCTCATCTTATTCTTGCTGCGACGATCACCTCCCGCATTGGGTATGTCCTGTTGTCGTCGATGGATGAAGTCTGCGATATCGTTTCGGAATATGATGGCCAATGCGACGGACACGGAGAAAACGGCGACGAATGGTGTCGGGGGAGCGGTGGTATCCGGCCCAACGCCTGGTAGCTGGCCATCGTTTGCCGCCCCGACAGGACTTACATTACAGCGGAGCTCTACATGGCGATAGGCGCGATCGGCCCGTACCGTGGCGGACGTGCTTGGGTTGCTCCGACCACTCGTGGTGATCGTCGTATTACTTTGACCGCTGCCGCTTCTGCTGTCATTGGCTGTTAGGCTCGCTCCGGACACATGCTGGAGCTCGACCAAGTAATCTTCCCCATCTCGCAAAAGTTCACCCGGCACAACGACAAACTGTGCTGCCTGCAAGTTGTGCAGTTGACGACCAGCAGTTGAAATAACGACTCGCAAAGATGGCAGCAACGCTGGATTAGCGTCAACCGTCACACTGAGCTGGGTGCTTCGTTGTGGCCGGACGACGATTACATCGATTGTCTGATCTTCACGACCTACCTGGACCTCCCGAATAGCAGGCAGCGTCCGCTCGAAACGTCGCGAGCCCTCGGGTATGTCTGGATCGCTTTGCTTCAACTGTAGCTTGTAAACACAGTTTTCGCGCAAACCCCTGATGCGGTACCTGCCATTCTCGTCGCTGGTGGCATCTTCCTCGTGTCTGTCGCAGGCCTCACTAATTGCCTCAAGCTCAACGTCGGATTCGGCTTCCCCCGTTATCGAAGTGACTCTGCCTTTGACCGAATAGGCTACCTTTTTACCAAGAATTTCCACGCGCTGCTCAGAGTTTTCGGTTACTTGTATCATAGATGATACTGGCTCAAACTTGTACTCTTTCATCATAACGCGGATATAGTACGATCCCGGCGATAGCTTGATCAACGATAGTTCACCCTGTGCTCCGGTTCGGCTATTGTTTCGGTAGTCCTGGCCACCTGTCACGGATACAAGAGCACCAGCAAGCGGCTCATTGGTGCCACTCTGTAGAACGACGATGTCGACGCGTGAAAATTTGATGCCACTTAGATCGTTCGAGTCGCCAACGCGCTCGAATGCATAGCCTTCCTTATGACCTTCAATGGTATACCTCGCCGATTCTAGTGGCCCGGCCCGGTAGCTGCCATTGACGTCGGTCATAACGCGCACAGCGTCAGATGGCAGAGTCCCCTCAGCCATAACAACTACCTCGACACCAGCAATGGCAGGTTTCACCGATCCCTGAATGAAGATCCCGGTCTTTCCGACCAGATCAATAGAGTGACAGTCATTAGGCATTCGGACTACGATTTGCGAAGGACGGAATAGCAATGAAGCGCTGCTTGCTTCCAACACTAATTTCTTTCCAGCTGGGTAATACATTTCGGCAGTGTATAGGTATCTAGGAGATCCTGCCTGGCCTGTAGACATCTTGGAATCGTTCTCTTTCACTTCTTGGACTTGTACTGTACTCACCTCATCATCGTCCTTCGTAACAAGCTTAAGATCATTGACAACTATTTTAGTAAAGATATTAACTTTAAGACGATGGGACTCGGCGACAAGCTTGACCGTTTCTTCACTTCCAGGTTTGAACTGGAGACCACTCGCTTGAGCAAAACGATGACACCCCAAAGGTGTCAGAGGGGTTATTTTCGTTTCGACAACACAATGCTTCGACAAGCCCGACTTCACCTGTAAAACTCTCCCGGCGATTTGCAGCTCGGTGCTATGAGAGCTGTCCAGCTTTAGAACAAACCCCTTTTGTGCAAAGAGTACATCGTTCAAGTTTTTATCCACAATTGTGATTCCTTGGCACTCCTTTTCGAAGCAAAGACCCGGATGCGATACGCACAGCTCATAAGTACCGGGATCAACACCGTTTAGAATGAACCTGCCATCACTATCAGCCGTGGTTTTTCCTTGAACGTTGAGGCCGGCGCGAAGCTCAACACGGACACCTCCGCATATTCCTCCGATACAGCTAATGCGTCCCTGAATAACAGCTTGGAACTGTGAGAAAACGAAACGTTTTCCTGCAGCTTCTGGAATAGAAAAGCTAACCTCAGTAGGAGAAAGACGTACGTGGCCAACTGGACGAAGAACGTAATCGCCCCTTGGCAGCATCGCACAAAATCGACCCGAACTCAGGTCGGAAAAAGTTTTAGTAACGCTATTAGTCGAAGTTGATTTTTTCCCAATTATATGCATCTCGATGGAATCTGCTACGAGCGCCTCACCGCACACTTCAAATCGATCGGGTCGAATAGGTAACAGCACTGCGTGGTCCACGCTAATTGTAACTTTTCTTGGGTCAAACTGAAATCCACGTTTCTTTAGCAGCAATGTATACTGCCCACTACGTAATCCTAGTAGGCGGAAACGTCCGGCTGTGTCGGAAACTGTTTCGAAGCCAGTCTCGGCGACTTGAATTTCCACACCCGGTCCAGCATCTTCAAGTTGCCCATCAACAGGGAAGCCTGTCACTTCGAAGGGATCTAAGCGGAGATCGCCATGAGCTAGTTCGACCTTTAAGTGGTCTGGCTCGACGTCCATTGCTTGGTCCGATGCAGTTATCGCTACAGGAATCACCGAATAGCTGAAGAAAGACGTAGTTGACTTGACACATGGGAATTCGAACGTCCCGCGGTTAGCGATGTCCACCTTCGCTACACAAGCCACTCGAAATCCGGCTGGCATAGTGAACCCAGCAGCCTTTGGCAGTTGTCTATTCGGTGTCGGTGAACGACCACAACAAACGCCTGCAGCTGTAGCATCATCCGCAGAGCCAGCAACGGCCAGCACAGCCCAGGCGGAGGTCGGAGGGGAATCTGCAAATTTAAAAGATCCCTAAAAACGTGCCACACACGTAGACATTAGTGTAAGTTGTAGCCATTCCATGAACTGCCATAATAAACTGAAACTAAAAGCAATTGACTTTACGTAAAATTCATCAAGAAATTAAATTGTTGTCTAACGAATAGGGTTTACTTCTTTCATTTATGAAGAGACAATTCACGGAGGACAACGAGTAAAGCGTCAGTCAAAAATGATAACGTATAGTTCAGCTGATATACACGAAAAAAAATTGAACTTGTTCGAAAAAAATTGAACCTACTTCGATTGTATATCCTTCAATGACAAAAGTCGTCGAGTTATCAGCCACGAAGTTGTTGTTGGTCACCTTGACTTCAACGCTGTGCCCATGGAACTCCAGTTTATAGGCACCCGGCATTACGGCAGAAAATGCATAATTACCGCCTTTTTGAGTGAGTACAGTTTTCCGTGACCCGTTACCCAGCAGCGTAACCGGTACCCCTTCAGGACCTTCCAAAGAACCCGCGCTTACAACCTATAAAAAACGCAAAAACAAAGCATAACAGAAACAACGATACGTTAATATAGCGCTACTTATTAAATACAAATCAGTCCTGTCGAGTTCAAATCCATGAAGATTAGAATCCATAGACTCTGTTTATTCCTAATCTGGGATAGCTTTGCAGTTCAGCGAAATGGAAAAAGCCACTGAATCTAAAGTATATAATACTGTTGTGTGATTACATGGTGAGTGAAGTTATAAATCAATGTCGCACAATTAATTATTGACTAACCTTTAACATGGTCAAGCATAGGTCTTGCTTAATATATATGCAGGGCACCAGGGCCGAATCAAATGTCTATTCTTACTAATTTAAGACGGAGTTGAGAAAAGTCAATTTTCCTTACTTTTCCAATAATAGAGAATCCTTTAAAAGTGAAGTCGATATCTTGTCCTTTCGAGCATGGGTCAGCCTTTGAGCTATCCAAGTGTATATCCACTGCAGGAGGGTCAAATGTCCAACCTGGTGGACCTTCTATACAAAGCTGAAAATGGCCTCTGTCGTAAGCAGGTAATAAGAAATAGCCACTATTAGGAGCGCCTTCAGCTTCGGCCTTCATGTTACCCGCCCTCGTCAGTCTGAAACAGAATAATAATAACAAAAATATGATATCTGAATGCAACAAGATCAATTACAAAGATTAAAGTAGTTTTTAAACAAGATATTTTGTGCTTTCCACTGGCTTCATTTTACTTCGATTATTAGTAAAATACATTAAAATTCTCTGAGAAATAGGTCGCTCATTGGTCATCAAACTACCTTTTTTCAAAAAAGATGATACTACTAAGCGAAATGTACACACTTGAAAGGTAGTTCCGGTATAACATCTTAGATTTTACTGCATTTTTCCTTCGACTAGCTTGTAGCGCTAGTAATCGAATCTCGCTTATGCCGGCTTATATATGGATCACGATTTCCATCTTTGACTCATTATTTTTACCATTCTTCACATATTCCATGCCCATTACCAAATTACTATATCACTTAAAACAAGATCGCCTTTAGCTGACTGGAATGATACAGCACGGAAGAGGCGCCCAAAATACAGAACAATTGATATACACATCTTATAAATAGCTGAGAAGTCGCAGTGAAGTACTTGTTCGACCCCTTTTGATTGCTAAATCAAAATTCATATCAATAATCAATACCGTACGCCGAGTAGAACAGAGATTGCGGTGTGCCGCCTATGGATATTGCTTATATTCAAGATAAACGTGCTTCTATGACCGTACGTTTTAACTAAAGGTAGGTGCATGCTTCTGAATATAGGCTATTCCTTAGTTCTGTGTTTTATTAGGTAATAAAACGGAGTAATAATAAAATTAAAAGCATATGGCAAACAATGAGCGTAAATGAAATTATACAAGTGTTGTTAATTTCTACAGATCTGTTCAACTTAATTTTCTCCAAAGACTCCCCAGTAGATTATAGTTACGAGACTTAGTGGAATATTTGACATCAGGAAAGGGACGAACTAGATGTTTTTCTTCAATTCCTGACAACAAGTAATATACGTGAGATAATTTATTTTAAATCGCGTAGGTTAAACCTGAACCGATACTTTTACCAATAGACCAAGCAGATGCGGAAATAGCTCCTTAGAGGATACTTTCGCGTTCATTACGTTGATCCAACTAAACTAAGGCATTTATTTTGTAATTTCCAAATTCCGCAATTGCTGTTTTCATTAGAATAACAAAATTTATGTGTAAAAACGGTTGTAGAGAACATCTTATTAATAACTGCATTCATGAAATAGCTGATACACCCACTTCGACTAAACAAACAAAAGACTGTCATTTCAACTGGACAAACACTGGAGACCAACTCATACTTACAGCTTAATTTTGATATTCTGATAGGGTATCGGCACCGACGAGCGTATATATCCTCCACAAGTTGTTATATCATCTGAATCAGCCGCAATGATAGAAGCAGCTGCCAGCAGACCCAACAGGACAGTCTTGTAGGCAACTGCCGCCTTTGCATCCGCGCACGCCATCGTAGGACCTGTCGCCCTTCTCTATACACAGAGCTCGTGACACAGTTTCTCTTTATATGATCACGCGACAGTAACCGATAAGCACTTGAGGCGGTCTTAGCACTATCCTTCCTCTTCTATAGCTTGTATATTTGTATACGCATATATATATCTGTACAAATATATAGATATATATATATATAGATATGAAACGAGCGTGCGCACTCAGAAACTCGCGACATTGAGGTTACAGCACTCGTGCCGTACGTTGCTTGCCACGATCCGGAACACACTAGCGGGTCACAGCACGAAACATCATCAACAGCCCACCTGGGGCCGTGTATATGCTCATTCGGCAGTGTTATGCTGGCTCGCAGTGATGGCGAGGATGGTATCGCAGCAGTCGAGGGCAGACGAGTACAGACGACATAGATATTGAAGCCGTCCCGCGGCCGCGCGTTGCCTATATTTTTTATAAACCACAACACAAGCAATGTTTTGCGCCCTCTCTTTGTCACTTTTTGATACGGGCGACTGCAACAGTGTATGACAGGTCAATGGATATACTTATGCAAGTAAATAATGATTCCGTGCCGGAAATGTTATATATAGGTTATGATATTCGTCTAGGCAGATTTAAGTGGGTACAAAGTGGAAATGTGAAAATGTAGCACAACTGTCTCTTAAAAATAATGTGAACAGATGTTATATAGTGGAAGATGCAATACAGTTTGAGTGTCGTCTCTTGGTAATGGCCACTACAATTTGGATACGATAGATAATCAAAAGTAATTAGCTATTCTTTGGCTGTTGTCATTCCCGCGAGATGCATTCAAAACTAAGTGTTGTTTATTTAATTTTGCTTCGATTTTCTCAAATTGAGGTATTCAGTAAAGATCATCGATGTATGTAAACATTTGGTGGCGCTATGCTGGTCACTACCTTAGGTCATAGGTGTTGTTCTTCACCGACAATCGACTACGGGCAGTTATCGTGTTTTTGGTTGAACCGAAAATCTAAGAAGAGCTGCGGCGTAATGATTTGCGTACGGAATAAAGCATCCCAGATCGGGCAATATCTGAAGGCGTCGAGCTCAGCTGTAGCTTCGCAGAGTCGGCCTGTTGTTAATGTAATTCCTAAGTCAAATAAAGACGAAAGGTTCCCATCCGACCCAGAAGCTGTAACGTCGAATGCCCTTGCTAATGTGCTTCCACACCAGGGTCGTACGATGGTTGTTGCCGGCTCCTTTTCGGCTGGCCAGCAAATCCGCTTGGCACACACTGATATTCAAGTACCCAACTTCGATGTATATCGTGTTAAGTCTCGCCTGAACCCAACCGTTCTATCGCCCACAACTCAGGAAGGTGCCAAGATGACGAGTTATCTTATTGTAGGTGCATCTGTCGTGGCAGGCACTTGCGCTGCCAAGGGCCTCGTTACTACGTTCGTGTCCAACCTCAGCGCCTCAGCTGAGGTTCTCGCTCTCGCTAAGATTGAAATTAAGCTCTCAGACATTCCTGAAGGTGTGTTAAATGTGTTGTCTGATATAGCATTTATTTATTGTAGCAGGAAAAAAATCAAACAAGGACTAACACCCTAACAATAGCGGGATGCAAATAATAAAAGACAATTTAAGCTTTAAAACAATATTTTTTTTGCTTGGGTTCCCCATATGAACAGAAAATCAAGTGACACCCAGAAGCGAAATAACTATTTGTTTGAATAGTCCATATAATAGGGCTAAGCTAGGGTCTATTCATATGGATGAATCAATTTTCATGATCAACATGTGATATTGTGCGCGAATATCTCTACAATATGCAAGCGAAGTCAAATAGGCATTTAATTGTCCTTTCAAGGTCAAATGCGTGCGATGAGCTGTGATGGTGGTGCTTCTCAACTGGGTTCTCTGCTCTGTTGGCGCTCAGAAGATCGTGAAGAGTTTTGCCACTAATGAACAAGCAGTTTCGATAAATAACCACCTGCACACAGTTACACTGGTTTTATGTTTTCCGTTTAATTCAAATATTGCACGTGGGTCTATTATTATAATGAGTGTAAAATGGGCCTGATATTTGTTGAACGTGACCATGGAACTCTGCTCTTTCTTGATAGTGATCAATCCAGCGATTACCAATTTACGCTTTCTGAAGGGCAACGAAACGACCTGCGTATACACACACATCACAATTAGCAATACGCGGTGTATCCAATAGCAAGTAATACTATGCGGCATAGCCTCATATTATATAAAGATTCAAATCATGTTTAAGACTTGGGTATTTTGAATAATTCACACAGTTTCCGTCTCGTTTTCTCGCTGTCATTTGTTTACCTCAGGCAAGAATGCAACGTTCAAATGGCGAGGTAAGCCACTGTTTATTCGACATAGGACCGCCAGTGAAATCTCACGCGAACGAGCCGTCAATATTAGCATGTTGCGCGACCCACAGAAGGATGAGGATCGGGCAACAAGGCCTGAATGGCTCGTCGTTCTCGGGGTCTGCACCCACCTCGGTTGTGTTCCCATCGCTAACGCAGGCGACTTCGGGGGATATTACTGCCCCTGCCACGGCTCACACTACGACTCGGCTGGACGCATTCGAAAAGGACCAGCTCCTCTCAACCTTGAAGTGCCGGCTCACGTTTTTGTCGATGAGAATACGCTCGTTGTCGGCTAATTTTTTGCCGAGCGATAAGAAAACCTGCAGATGCAGATAGGAGAGAAACGGGTCAGGTGGAAACTGGCATATTCAGGTTTACAGGAATCTAGGTTGCCAAAAGTGGATGTACTTTAGACGTAATAAACGGAAAAATAAAAAAAAATATGATCAGCTTGTAAATCGTCGAGTTTTACACGAAAAATAGTTGACTCCAGTCATTTGTTTCGCCCATAGCTACATAGGGAGATGCAAGCCTGCTTCTTTTATACTAAATATCAAGTGCAAAACAAATAAGTACACAATATGCCAGTTATAACGAAGAAAGTAAGGTAACTCACAAATATTGCCGAAGAAAATGCCTGTGTTATTTATTGGTTTACGATTTTTTCGACATCGATTAAGAACGATTAGTCGTTCAGTAGAAAACGATGACTTATGTTAGACATCAATACGATGAAATAAACAGTAAAGATAAAGGAATACAGGTGATAAATTGAAATGAATGACGATCATGAGAAAGAAACATGCTGGCGTCAAGGAAACACTGTTTTTAGGAGCAAATTTACCTAATACATGTTAACGTCCACCACAAAAACGTTAACCATTAGTTGTAAGAAAATAAAAAATCAATAAAAAATGCTCTAATATATTAAATGATTCTTTTTCTTAGCGCCTTACAATCAACATAAGTAGAAAAATATGAAATCAGCAGAAAGCAAGCTCGATGCGTTTACGAAAGAAGCGAACGAAAAGCCTATGTTGAGAGCAAATATGTTTCTAGCGAAGAACCTATTTTTCCAGCGTAGACATATTGAATACCATGCTTGAAGATTCCGTTTAACAAAACCTACTATCGTTTTTCTGCATTATCATTTAGTTTAGAACCAAATTAATTGTATGCCAACATTATCCAATCACTAAAATAGTGCATAATTCTGAATCTAGCATCTAGAACGACATTGTTATTACTGCTTTGCGGACGAAAATTAAGCTGATTTACTGTTAGAACAGTTCGTTTGATATCATACTACAAATCTAAGATGGACTAAAAACGCTTGCATACTTGTTTGCCTAAAATAGAAAAACTGTTTATTGATTACATCTTTAAAAACGTTATGACAGGTATAAGTGCTTTGTTCTTAAGATAGTATGGCTATAAAATACCTGGCATCGTTTAAATGACCTATGAAATTCTTTTTTTCCTAATAAACATCTTTTTATCATTAGACAAGTATGCTACAAAAGCTTGCTAGTCATGATGCAGTTAAATCCGAAAATTTTAATAACAAACGTTCTCAACAAAGTCAGCCCAAAAGCGTTAAGCAGTTATTTATTAGGGCATTCACAAATAGTAAGTCAAGTATTAAAATGTAGTTGAGTTCAACAATATGACGATTACCTGAAATTCATTGTAGTGGTTCAATTCAGTGCTGCGAATGGTGTTACTATTATTTATTATCAGCCCGTATTTTGCCGAAATGCTGCTATAGGCAAATCAATTTTGATTAACTTATATTTGAGACTACTTCATTACTACACAAAGCATCCTATAAGCATGGCTTCAAGGCAAATTGAATAAAAATTTGAAAGACAATGTTTTTATAAATGAGTCTTTTGAAAAACCAAGTGCTTTCCCGCGCGACAGTAGCGCCAGTATTAATAGTCAGCAAACAGCCCCTCTCCTTCTGGCTTGTGTCACTGGGATTCGATCGCGCAAAACGCGCTGAGTTTGCGCGCTTCGTGATCTGAGAGGTCAGAATATAGCAACAACAGGTAGGTTTAATTTTTGTGGTATTCTTATGTGATGCTTATGTCGAGTCTTATTTTGGGTGAATAGAGTTTGGACGAGTTAGACTGTTGAATGCATTTTGTCAAAAAAAGAAGTCATTATGCGATGATAATTAGGTAGAACGGCATGAATTTTGTATGGTACGCGCCTAGCTTCATCATAGTCGTGTTAGCTTAGTCGTCATTTATTTTATTGCTCGAATGTGTTTGTCGCGGGTTGATTATGTTATTTACCTTATTATTTTTGGTTCGACAGCAATTGTGTTCTGAAAAGAACCTTTATGATGAGCTTTTTTGGGCATTTCCGCCGCTTATAAACCAAAAACGTGCTTGCGCACTTGTGCACAAAAAGGCGTGTCTTTTCTAGCACATTTGCCCTGCCAGTCATTGCGGTTCTAAGCAAAGACAAAAGGAGCTTAAAAATTATTAAAAGACAACAAATACGAATGGTCCTCTTATGTTGATCGTTAATTCGTAATTCTTTATTGTTCCATTTTGTGTTTGTTGTCTTTTAGCGGCGTTTTGTGGTTCTTTGGGGCTTCCTGCCGATTCATGACTGTTGGTCAACAGCAAACGAAAAATTCGAAAAAAAAAAAGACAATAAGCAAAAGCGGACACTACTTCCTGAACAATTCAAGGTAGTCATGCAATATCAGTTTCTTTATCACAAAATATCATAAATGGGCATTAATTGGTTTATATAATCACGCCACTAATCTAAGTCTCAATAGATATTCCGGTACTTACTATAACGGTTGGTGTGACGCAGACATGTTTAGGTCACTACAAGGTATAATATTATTTTGGTGTTTAGCAGCGTAGTTATATGCAGTCAGTAATGATTGCGTCATCGCCAAGAATAATGCGTATCTAAGTGAACAACTGCTGTACACACGCATACACACACATATATATACATATATATCACGTTTCTTGCGTTCTTTCATGTATGGCTTTACTACTAAGGCGCAACAATATTGTCGATATGCTATTATAGATAAATCTGTAAAGCATAGTTGCCATTTACGATATTTATCATTTTCGATTCGAATATTGAGGAACAGTGTCTTACTTCAAAGTTACTACATTGTTCTAAGTTATTGTTACTGTTCCACATTTCTGATACGTTTGTTAGATCTGCAAGGTCTTAAGGTTATTAAAATTGTGCTTGTTGAAAAACGTAACGTGCGTTACAAGCTGTTGTTGTAATGCGCAGACGAATTTCAATGGAAATCCTTACTCATATTCGCCACGCACTGTCCAATTCTGTGCCCGACAAGTTATCCGTATTAAGTCAGTCCTCTAAATCCCGTCGTATAGAAAAGAAACAAGCTTTCTTTTTTGGTGTCACCGGAGTGTCTAGCAGCCTAAAAAAGTACCTATTTTTTCAATTCTACACCATTAAATACTATTTGTCAGCGCTGCTATGCTATTCATACGTTTGATCATATTTAATTATATTCAATTCAGTACGCAGTAAATACTATTTAACCCTAATTACTTACGATAGCGCCTCTGTCTATCAAATTGTTGACGATAATATTGCGTACTGTGTTCTTCGTCTGAATCGCGCGGTATGAAATCGTGAAACAATAGCTGTACATGATGGGTGTACATGTGGTCCCATGATCACGACCAGCCGGCATTCCTTCTTAACTAATGTATGCTATGTAATGTCAATTTTTTTTCTGTGGAAATGGAAACGTGTTTTAGTTCAGTCCTTTTAGGCTAAGGCTGCTTCCTCACTTGTTCTTTTTCAGCGTACTAACATTTGTCCATCTGTCAAACAGGAGCAGATTTAAACTATTACCAGCAAGATGCCGGGTAAGCGTGATCAGAAACCTCCTGTAGACGCTGCCGATGTAAAGAAGGCCAAACGTGATAGACGTTCAACGGACGAACAGAACGGCAGAAAAGGTTGTGACTCGGATTTTGGCTCGCCACCCAAGAAAATAAAGGCGTGAGTAAACCATGGCAAATCATTTGACATTTTAATACCTTAAATATTAGGAGATATTAAAGCACGCATGTTGTTGTCATAAGTAAAAATGTTTGCTTATTCAGTTAGTAACCTTCAACAAAATACATTTACAAAGAAAATACGTCTTTAATAAATACATGGATCGTTGTGCACATTGAATAACAGGATTAGCAATTTCTGATTTGTTGTAGCCTAAGAATTTTTTTCTCAAGAAACAGGAACAAACAACTAATGAAGTGTGTTTACCTTACAGTTTCAAAATGTCTTCTGAGGCTGAGAAATTCTGCGCGAAATTCAAAAGCCCGGAGGATTCGATCAAGTGGCTTCTAACAAACGCCAAAATGAGTGTCGAAGAATTCTTTAAAACTAAGTGGCAAAACGGTGCTTTTTCCATGCACGCGGACGAAGAATATAAAGATCTGGCCAAAATATTTAGTTACGACTTCCTACTCAAAGTAAGTAGACATTTAGCTCTGAGGGTAAAGGACAATATTTGTCAAGAAGATAAGAAAGAAGAAAACACTAAAAAGCTTTAATTAAGGGTTTTTTGCGACACGTAACTGAAGTGGACAATAAGGGAATTTGGCGAAGGTATAATATTATCAATGTAACAGTAAATAGCACAGTGAATGTCACTGCGAATGGGTCTTTATTGATGATAGCATTGTCGATCTTTTTATTTTTAGCTTCTGAAAGATGAAGAATACAATTTTCAACCGGAGCTCGACTTTACTTATGGCAGATACCCTGGTGACTGCTCTGTGAACGAGAATATTAAGAACCTGAGCGTGAAAGAGGTGGACCGGGCGCTAGAAGCCGGCGACTGTCTCAAGATTATGGAACCCCATCGATTTCAGCCCGCGCTCCATGCGCTGCTGAGCCCATTAGAGTCGTTCTTTGGGTCGCTCGTATTCTCGGATGGATATATCTGCCCACCAAAGGGACAGTTCAGAGGTATACATTTCATCGACGAGGAATGTTTTGTTGTTCAGACTGAAGGCACACAAACATGGACAATCTACGAGGACAAAGAAAAATTGTCGACGAACTATTCCAATGATTACGAGAAAGGAGATGTTGGAAAGCCTATCAAAACAGTGACGCTTAAGCCCGGTGATGTACTGTACATGCCTCGAGGCACAGTTAAAGAATGCGCCGCTGGAGACACCCGCAGCAGCTATTTCGTCGTAAGAACCTATCAGCGTATGTACTGGGCCAACTACTTCAGTGAGACTTTGGCGGTTCTAATCAATTCGCTCGAACAAAGACATGTTGACCTACGACGTGGCCTACCCTTGGGCTTTCTGCCACGCGCAAATATGACCAAGGACGACTTTGCCGCTTACATGACTAAGCTCGCTGAGCTTGTGAAAGCTGACCCCGAACCTCTGCCTACGCCCGCAGGTTAGTGAGTAATATCAACCTTATTGTTTAATCACTACGAAAGGAATTACCAGTGGTAAGTCGAAGTATAACTGAGAATTTATTGCAGTTATGTGTGCAACTTATCACGTCCTACAATATAAAAGTTATAATTTGGCAAGTCAATTTTCAAGGCATATTTGAAAATGAAATCTGAAAACCAAAGCAAACATTCCTTCTTTGTACCATATTTCATAAGAAATTGCGTTTAAGAGGCCCGTTTTTCAGAATCATTACTATTGGCTGTTTTATCTACCTTTTCTTTCACCTTTATTGCCTTTCAAGGTATGGTGATCGAGTTCATGGCGTGCCGGATGCCGCCATTCGGAGTTTCGTTCGACCTCTCAGCAGACAAAGCTCCAGAGGGAAAATCAAGAGTCCAGTTGCGGTCGAGAGGCCATATGGCGTACTACACAAGGCCCGCAGGTCCTTTTGATCCTGACGAAGCAGCAGACGAGGAAGACGCAGATGAGCCTACAAACGAAAACGACGAGGAGGATATTAACACCGAAGAATCGGAACTTGTCATTCTTTCGTCGGTAAAAAATGACCTCCTGAGACATGGAACGCCCCAGATCGACTCATCAGCTGAAGAACTTGTTGTTGACCCGGCTTATGAAAAAATTCTAGAAAAGCTCGTTAATGCTGAGAAGCCCTTGAAGATTAGCGACTTAGAGGTAACAGATACTGACAGAAAGGGAAAACCATTGGACGCATTAATGCTGGCTAGAGGCCTGTATAATATTGGCGCCCTAATGGTCGTTGAATAAAAGCTCTCTAGGTATTTACAGCCTTTTGCGATTTTTGATAGTCTGTAATTACATAATGCTTTTGTCTCATCTATAAATGTCAATACAAAAAAAAAACGTTAACTTACCCCATGAATCTGTCACCCGTCTGCTGCAGCTTATTGCGTCTCTGAGCCGTAACACAACTTTTGAGTTATAAGACATAGAGAAAGAGTACCAGAGCCGTTAAGTGTGGTTGGTGTTGCCTCTGAGCAAATGTTCACGTTGAAAATGTTTCTAAGTACATCAGATACAGCAACGCTCGTTGATCCACGAGATGAAAAAAGAGAATTAACGCTGCCGATTTAATAGTTTTTCTGCAGAACGATGGCGTTTTATGAGTCCAGTTACCTCCAACCTTGTTAAAATAAGTCGATAAGCCATAGACATGTAAATATTGCATGGCATGAGATTTTCGATTACCACATCGTGAGGTAAAAAGCCAGAAGTGAAATATTGACGTAAAAAAAACAAAGAATCTACTGCGTTTGTATAGTGAAAAGTATTAGCGAGCCGAAATGGTCTCGCTATGAGCGTCCAACAAGGAACGAAAACATGTTGACTGAACGTTGTTGGCGACACAGGCAGGTACTAAAGAAAGCAATTTGGAAGAACTATATTATTTACAGTCTGTCATCTAATAAATATATTTTGGCATGATTAGGTGAAAGAATTATAATGTGATTTCCATTTAGTATCTTATGCTTGACTCATGTAAAACGACAATGTTTAGATAGCATCAGTAGGAGCTAAACAGCAATTTTCATTCAAACGAAGTTCTAGACCAGCGTCGTCATCAAATGTAGAACAAAGTAGCGTATCTCGTTTTAAGTTCCAGTAAAGCTTATATGTTGGAAAATGGCTAAAAATCAAATTTGCTACATACAAATGGGTTTAAGGAATAATCTCGAAATCGTAAAAAGAGTCCTGATCATGTAATTTCTATTTAACAAAGTATAAATAAGTTCCAGAAAATTTTAACCATTATATAGTATTCTGTTACGATTGGAGCTATAGCTAAATTAAATTCTTAAATGAATTTAAGGCTTTAATTTGGCCATAGCTTGCACAAGGCGGTAAACAGTTGATATAGATTACTTGGATTTAGCTAAGCAAGAAGCAAGTTGAACTGGGGCATTTACTGCAGTCAACAACAAACTGATATAACGATATCGCTAAATGCAAATTGAAGGCTATACTAGCTCACCAAAATAATCAAACTGTGAATCACCGTGTTTCTTTTGTAATTAGGATAACTCAGAAGACGGAGTACGTAGTTTATTTTATTTCGAAGATATTTTTAAACGAGGGTCCTGGCTTACCATTGCCATGCCACGCTTTATTTTATTTTACATTTTTATTTACATTTTTAGATTTCATATTTCTTTACCACATTCAACTTTCAACCCTTCCACGGTTAACCACCCCGTAGATTAGGCGTTAACACAGCAATTAGGTGTCTTTTGTCGATAGCAATTTTTTCTTTTATCGTAATCAAATAAATAAGTCACATCCGTATGTTGCTTTCATTTTGCACCGGGCGTTTCTCATTCATCGACAGACCGGGTAGTGCTGCGCTTTTTTATATGCTATTTAGCAGAAAAAAATGCCGTCATTCATGCCGCATACCGTACCCAAATTACAAACAGAACACACGAAAGCAGTCCTACTACGGCGCGATTTATTTCGCTGGGGCGAGAATGCACCTGGTTCAGCAGACTCCATAATTATACCACAATTTTATTAGAAATGGTTTAGAAAAGTTTAGACCAAACAGTTGGTTTTTCATAGGTGGTGTACTAATCTTAACTCGAATTCGAATACAAAAATATATACACTGAAAGTTTTTGCTTGTAACGCTTATGGCGGAACCAACATTGCTCTAATTCGGATTCGATTTAAATGGACAGACTAGACAGTAAATTAAAATTTTTATCTCTACACATATAGTACATAAGTGCAGCCGTGTAAAACAATACGTATCTTATCATAACAGTTTAAATGGACCTGATGCTTTTGCCACTCTTTTCTATTTTTACTATAGCTTTTTGTAAAACACACGAGTTTCTAATTATCCTAAGAAACAAAAATCGAGGTGGAACAATCGAAATAAAAAAAAAAACCCAAATTTTGAAGTTCGGCAGCTCCAAACTTTTTGTTCGAAAATAACTAACGATTCAATCACTAGCCAATACACTAGCTATCATAAATAGTTGGAAATTATTTCGCAATTTCTTCGTTAATAAAGACTTATCAAATTAAACGAAATTGAACAGCTGAATGTTCCCAGTTTCTGACATAGGACCTAAGCAACAATTTTTTCCTAACTCCCTTGTTAAAAAAGATATAAATTTGCTGCCGAATAGATTATACGTTTGTTGAGATACCTGTACTCTAGTTGGATAGCAAAAGCAGGAATGAATTGTTCGAGCACTTTATATTCCTCAACATAATGAACGCTTTATTCAGAAATAAAGCGTGCTATTATAATTATAAATATTTTTATACAACATCATTTGATCATCATTACACGCCATTACATACACAGTTGTATATTACACATTTTACATACTACCTACACAGTTTGCTTTCTGTTAAGCAATATACGAAATACAGAAGTTAATTTAAGACAGAACAATGTCAGACATCGATCGCAAGATATAACATAAAAGTAGCTTTCTTTCTCAAACTAAATACAAACCATTTGCGTATTGTCTGACTTATGCAAGTCTCCTGCAGTTACAAAAGTAAATGAGCAAAAACAGTTGTCGCTCTGTATCACTTGAATCAGTTGCGTGATATGGATAATAGACAAGCATAGTCTACAACCAGCAGCTTACAGTGCCACGATCACTCAGAGCCAATTTGCGAGTCCAAGACCATCAGTAGCCAGTGACTGTGAGACATGCTTAAGGGAAGGTGACAACCGTTCTGGCTCGATTGATCTTGAGAGCTAGGTAGGTTTTTCGCCCTCGATTATGCCCGATACACGCTAAGCATTTTTCGTTGACCAGGTGCGGAAATGAAGTTACGGGCCAAGTTAGTTTACACTATACAACATATACAAGAAACTGGCCGTACAAGCATCGTAACCGGTTTTCCTCTTTACCTCTATTCATTCTGTTTGGTAGCAAATAGCCGAAGTTTTTGTGTAAGCAAAAACTTGTGTATGGAGACTGCCGTTAGCCTGACACAAATGACCAGGGTAACAATGGCAACTATGAGGCAGAAGACATCTACCACCAGTATCGCTCCTTCGCGGCACTGCCTTCTGCTGAACCTATGAACATGATTATTTGCATTATTATTTATTAGTAGCAGGGACCGTCGTCATCGCAAGTAACAACAATATAACGCCATTTTGTCTGTACAGATCCATCCAAAATACTTTTTCGTGCTTCTGTGTTCCTTCTGCATTGTTGTTACAAACTCCCGGGAGAAACTCCCAAAGTACAACACGCATTCACGCTTATATTGCTTCCGGTAATGGCTACTTGATCATGATATAATGCAGCGCTACTGACCGGACAATATAACGAGTGATGTGATAGCGACGGGCAATAGAGTGAGTGCTTAGTCTAGCAATTCCCAGGCGGAAAAACGTACACGATCTGTAAGATCGATGGGCTCTCAACCCTTAGCGACTCAATTAGATGTTTGCATACTTTTGTCGCTGTACTATTACCGATAAATGACACTATCAGTATCATAATGATCATCCGTATCATCTGTTATCTGTAGTTGGTAATAAACAATGAGGAGTCGCGCGATAAATAAACATCGATCCGCAGCTTCGCGAGTTGTTGCGAAATGAGAGTTGTGCCTCGTGCTTGAGAACGACGAACATGGGCAAACGAACAAACGGCCCACGACGGAGCGAAACTATGCGCGCAAACTGTGCGGCCATGTGGCAAACTATGTTTGTGCTAATGTTTGAACCTGTGCGTGCAGCACTGATGTGTCATTGTGGCGTCGTCCTTGTTAATGAACGAAATCATTACGAACGGCATTTCCACCGCGAACTACGCCCGTGGACGTTTGTGGACGCTTCCTTTGCTAGACGCTCTTCCGCCGAAGCACAACCTTGCCTCGTTGTAACATCGCCAATGTAATACGAACTTTGCTCCCGTCCACAACTTTCTTCACGATGATATCATTTCCACCAAGTGTGTCAATGACGCCATTAAATTTGCCCCCTAGATCTCGTGATTCGACAGAGACTGATTGCCCCCGATGGTACCATTTTTTGTCATAAAACAACTTGTTGTGCTCGATCCGAGCGTCAAACACCAACGATGAAGAATTGACGGATGACGACGTTGTGGGGCTGCTACCGAGCTCCACGGGATCGACCTCGATATCGGCGTTAACGGCGTTAGCCGCGCTACCTCCTGAAAGACAATAATGCAAATGATCAATCATAAGTACGCAAATGAGAATGCCTGTTATAATGAAACATGTTTTACTACCTGGTTTTTTGCATCAGGGATGTAGATTGTGATGGAAATAACCTATTTGAACTCCATGAAGTCTTTATTAATACTGTTAATACATGTTCCTGAATTGCTTACAGTTTCGGAAATAATTCGAATCTTATATCACTAGACACTAACGATCTAAATTAGTGTTGATGTTATCTAATTATAGAATATAATCTTAACATCGATTAGTTAAACCAATTTGAAAAAAATAAAGAAGAAAGTTAGCTCTGAGGGCTAACTTTCTTCTTTATATATTATATATTATATATATAATATATATATATATATATATTTTTTTTTTTTTTCATTCATTTTTATTATAAATAGGGTTGGTGTATGCTCGTTTATTTGTCTGACTCATATAAGGTCAGAGTGTTTAAGCTGCTATTGTTTCTGTAAGTTGTCGGACAAAATGGCCACCATTTTGTTAGGTCCACGGATCTACTTGATCGTTTCCGTCTCACTCGAGTAACATTCAGTCAAAACAAACCCCGGAAGAAGCCATACACGGCGTTTTATAATAATTTGAACTTTATGAGTATAAGCAACGTTGTTTGCATCATGCCCCAACTATTGCAAATACCGCAAAATGATTTGCGTAACGTTTGTATTATTTAAAAGCCCACCACGGCATCATACTGGAAATAACACCACTGTGCTTATTCTCCAAGCGTGGTTTACGCGAACTTAAAAATATATATGTGAACAAATAATTTGATGACCCATTCATGTTATCTTGCTGAAGAACAACCGCCACAAGAGTAAAGTAAACATTGAAAGCAAGCTGGAACTATATAACTGTCTTTTTCCATCTAACTGTCTATCACACAAATAATCTGTACCCCATATTTAATATACGCGATGGTTTTTAGACTTTATAGACTTTGGCTCATAGACTTATGTTCACGTAACTCACCCTTCCTTGTTGATGCTTGCTGTTGCCTCTCGTGCGATTTGTTTCCACCGCCAGACGATTGGTTAGCAACGATCCCTGTACGTTGAATGGCCTTAAGGTCTTCTAGTATTTCGGCCTCGTCGATCAATAGGCTTAGCTGGCTTGGAGAAAGCTTTCGACACTGCCGTTTCTCAGCTGATGCTCCGCCGCCACCGGGCATCGGCTGGCCACCCCCACCTGGCTCATTTGGTCGGCGGCGCAATTTTCTAGTGCTAACCGGTGCGCGAACGTCACTCGCATCCCCACCTGTCAGCTCGATAAGGTTTCGCTCAAGCTCGAAATGGCGACGCTTTTCATCAAGTTCAGCTACTAACGCTTCCTTAAGTTCGATTGTTTTCTCTTCAAGTTCCTGAGATGCAGCTTTTGTCTCGCCGTCATAATCAGCTTGTGCCCGTTCGGACTCAAGTTTCCGCCAGACTTCGTTGAACATCACACGGTCAGCGTGGGCCGTTTCGATCCGCCGTAATCGCCGTTGATATTCGGGATGTGTGCCATCAGCCACCTGCTGGAGTTGGCGTCGTAGTGAGGCGATTTTCTCGACGAAGACTCGATCCAACCTGGATACAAAATTGGACATGCATCGTTAAAATATGAAGAACGATCATCCAGTTGTCAGATATGGTGTATATATCGACAATAGCAAAAATGAAACAACAGTAACAAATCAAATTAGCGACGTACACGTGGTTGGTCTACACAATTCGTTTATTTACTCAAAGGTCCCATGATAAAATATATATATTTTGTGTTTGATATCCCTAAGTTAAAGGTTGTTTTCAGTAATTGTCAAATCTCGTATTTATATTAATAAGTAAAAATAAAAAAATTCACAAACTTCTTTGAAGCTCGATTTTTTTCTGAGCACCTAGGATTTTTAAAACGTCAAAGTTCCGTTACAAATATATGCATAATATCAAATTAAGGGAGGGATAAGCAAACACTAACTGTTCTTCTTTTTCGACGAATTCTTCCTCCTGTTTGACAACCTCCGTTTCTGACGCATCCTCTGTATCTGGAAACCACAACAAAAAAAATTACAAATTACAGTAAAATGATTAAATTCAGTCTGGACAAGTGAATCCACCCAATAATAAATACGGCTGTAACTGAAAAATCGACGGAAAGACCGATACAATATTTAACATAATCTGAACTTACGTGGTCACTTAACCATCTACTATATCAAATTCTTTTGTCAGTACTACTGTGATAGTAAGCAAATTATGGCTTAATTACTCTTATTCAGACGGGTAAGTTTGGCAGCAAATGGGTACGGATGATCCTGAATGCCCATCGTAACCAAAAATTAAACCTACCTCCAAACAAAGACTGGCACGAATCTTCTGACATTAACGTCGGGCTCATTTTGACTGATGAACTTTTTGGCAACTGTTGCATAACACGAAGCATTAGCTTGGACGATTGTGTCCCTACGACCGCTTTAACGTCACGCATGAGTTTCGCTTATGAACTTTTTCAGGATAGATAAAAATAATACTGGAGCGTTTCCGTTCGCCGCTTTATTTAAATTTATCGCTAAAATACTCTTTAAAGCGTTTCAGTCAATCGGGAATGAATATTTGGTGCTGCTGTCACAGCTAATCGTTAAATAGGTGACCATAGCAAGGATACGGTAAATAGTTTTATCTGTTGCACTGCGTTTGCCATGAAATATATGGGCTAGTGGTAACAAATCTACGAAGTCATATTGAGGCGATTGATTAATCGCAAAACGAATAACAAGTATTACGGTACTGCACCAAAGATAAATTGGGAGACGTGTAGCCGTGACACAGAAGGTAGTCATCAAATAGTAAATATGATTGGTATCTCTAAGGTGATGCGTTGGAGACTAGTCCTGCGCTGATTGCGGTTTGCATAGGCAGCTACCTCAATCGACCGTTTGATTCAAAATCGGACCTGATTTTAAGCTAGACCACTTGCTAGTTTGCTACGGAGTTCGTCGCGAGTTAGCGAACATCGAAACTTATGCCGGCCTGTTCAACAACATACCGTTGTCATCAAGCGCAGGTCAATGGTAGTGATCGCAAACAATGTAATTTCTGCAATCAATTCATTATGTAGCTAAGCCACGAAATCCTCATTAGATTGTTAGAAGCTGCAGATATTTAGCGCGTCAGTGGGCGTTCCACGCGGCTATTGACTTCTTGCGATTACTCAGTATGTGTTCTTTCTCAACAGGTAAGAATAAAATACTTATTTGTAGCTAATTGTCATTTCATATTCGTCCACCCTTCAATTAATTTAGAATACCACCACTACCGGCAGAGTATTCGATTTTTAGCCGACCAGTTTGCTTCAAAAAAACATGCACCCGCGCATAAACATGTATACACACACGGCTAATCACCCCTTTCAGCTTGCCGTTCCTTGGTTTGTGTTCACTTATGCTACAGTTAAATGCGTAAGTAAAGAAGAACAAAAAACCGCCAGGGGCCGAATCACTTTGATCTGTGCTTGGCGGTACTTCAGTTCAAGGGTGAATCCATTACTCGCTCACAATTAACACGCTATTGACAATGGCTTAAAACAAATGGCTTGACAAACAAATGACTTCAACTTTTCTCACACTTGAAAGCACAGCATCACTGCACAGCTGCTATTTTATCTCCCGCCGATTTTTCCAACATCAGCATCATCAACAATGATAATATCTATCATTGCGGTGGCATCAGCAGCAGCAAATTCGTCTGTTGCTTCGTCGGGTTGATTTTTTCGGCTAACCATCGAATCGTTCGAGCGACTGAGACGACATCTGCTAGGAAGACGACAGTAACAAATCAGATCATATCACCATCAATAACAACACCAATACACGAGGAACAGAAATGGTTTGGATCTACCCAGCTTCCATCCACAGATACACTAAGTACAATGTACCTATCACTTATTGCCGGGCGGAGGCACCACCACTACCCCAACACCGCTCGTAACAAACTGAGCAACACCAGCAGACACCCCCCGGGTTTCTGCGTACTACCACTCCTTTCAGTATAGCTCACACTGGTCAATCAAGACGCGTTCGCTCGGCCCTCTAAGTGGAGCGAGTTCTTGTTCTCCCCCGAAAGCTCGCCTGCTTAGCAGATGCATTAGTGCGTCATCATTCAAGGCTCTCATACGATGGCCATCAAAAGGGTGTACGCTGTCCGCTGATTGGTTGACTAGAGGATGGCGCGCCAATGGTTCTTTTTATGCATCTTCGTCAGCTATCGCTATTAAGGGATATTTGACACGATTTAACTTCCAGTTCATTGGTTCCTGATCGATAATTGCCAATGCTGTCCACTCCAATGCACTCCAATGTGAAGTTGTGAAGAATAACTTGGCGAAAAAAAAGCACGAGCACATGGCTTATATACAGAAGCGCGGGTTTTACGTGAGGTAACTATATATATACCTATATATATAGGTATATATATAGTTACCTCATATAT